AATCCTAAATTATGTATATACAGTATAAGCTAATAAAAATTAATTCGACAAAATTAGAGAAAATTTTTAAATTTTATAAAAACTATTTTTAAAATAATCGTTGCTTAGAGTAGTCTACATCCAATATCATTTATATTTATTATTTCACTTATTAACATTAAATTTTGAAGGTAGTATGTTTGATTAACAAATTTGATTAAAAAAATTGTTTCGAATTTTAATTAATCACTAGCGAACGTTAAACTTTGTGTTGAATGGTATATATAATATGAAATGTTATTTATTATAGTACATTGTTTTTAAAGTAACAAACAGTAATTTTATAGTTCTCTATGTCTAAACATTACATCTATATTTATTAATTTAATTATTAGAAACGTCTATTAATGTAATGGGATTAAATTAAAAAAGAACGTTAATATTTTATGAATTAATTTCTATAATAATGTATGAAACATGTTTATTTTGCTTTAGTTCAAATATTTTTATATTTAAAATATAAATTGATAATTTATCTTAATATAATTTATCTTAACAGATTGATTTTCAGATTATAAGCAGCGATTTTGAATATTGACATATTAGAATAGATCCCCCTCCTCCGTCATTATTATATAGTGGCGACCCCTTCCTAGATATCTTCGCTGGTTAGAGTCACCGTACTGCTCCGGAGCGCACTCCTTAATATTTATTATTGTAGTCCTAAATGGCTTGCTGAAGTGTCGGTCAATCTGGTTCTGTATAAAATCTTATGTAAGTACAGTCCTTGACTATTGATTTAAATACAGATAATATATTTCAATTGAAAATTGAAACTTTTCTTCATTTAGTACCAATAGAGATATGTCTTCTGCCACTTTATCTTTCCGTAAGTTATCTATCTATCTATCTATCTATCTATCTATCTATCTATCCATCCATCCATCCATCCATCCATCCATCCATCCATCCATCCATCCATCCATCCATCCATCCATCCATCCATCCATCCATCCATCCATCCATCCATCCATCCATCCATCCATCCATCCATCCATCCATCCATCCATCCATCCATCCATCCATCCATCCATCCATGTATACCAAGTTGAGTTGTACTCTACATATGTAACTTGAGTTGAACATGTATTGAAAATATATTATTTTTTACTACTCATAATCAAAAAATTCATTTATATGTTTTAGAGAATTCAATATGTTTAAGAGATCAAAATACAATTTTGTGTAAATGTATATTAGTAAGTAATTTAATCTGATAGTAAAAAATTCATACAATCTATATAAAATAGTGGAAATCCCATTAAAAAATTTGAAATTTCATTTACTTCAGATTAATATTCGATATAAAATATAATGAAAGTAATCTCTTCACACATTAAAAATCTAATTTAAGGTTATAAATTAATAATTGTCAATACATCTGAATATTTTTAATCGTGATAGATATTTTAAAATAATTAATATTGAAAAACCTTTTTCGAAAATAATAAAAATTTTAATATGAAATTGAGTCAATTAAATTACCTTTTAACAAAAGTTATTAAACCTCAAGTATTTTAATTAATTTTTTTCATATTTATTAGTATGGCATTTAATAACAGCAATAAATTAGTTGATGTCTTGCGAGTTACATTTTTATTATTGAACTAGTAATATTGTAAATTTTGTAATATTAAATATGATTTGTAGTAATTAAATACAGTAAAACGTTATGAAAACAAATCAAAATTAATTTAAAAACATCATATAAGCAAGATTCAATCCAAAATAAAAAAGTTTTATATTGTTTCTAAGCATTTAACTTTTTTTATAATTATATTATCTTCTTACTATAAAAAAAAATTTTATTTAAAAATATATATAAAATATGTTGGAATATATGGGTTTTAACATTATTAAATTTAAAAGACAAAATGGGATTGTATATTTTAGAAATTTCAACAATGGATTGTACAAAAGATTTATGCTTTGAAAATATTCTGATTTAATAAAACATTTGAATCGAAATATATGAAAAATATAGAAAATAGGAAGAGTAAAACAGAAATAGTTTCATGCAGGTAAATATATAAAAGAAAATAATAAAGAAAATATTTGTTTAATATAAATTTTAACTTTTACTTTCTACTTTTTTCTACATAAAAAGAAAATAGAAGTTTATTACTATTATTTTTTTCATTAAAAAACAAATTAGCTATGAATCTGGAAAGTAATAATAATTATTTTAGAAATTTATTATAATATAACTTATTATAATGATGAATTGAAAATTCAAATTTTATTATCATATGTGGTTAAATATTGCAGAAAATATAAAGTGATTTTCATAACCAAGTTATTAATAAATTTAGGAATTAATAAAAATGTATATATTAAATTTTGTTTTTGCTTATTAATATAATAACTATTTATATTTTCATAGAATAAATTTTTAAATTTCATGTATTTAATTTGTTTAATTAAATTCATATATTTTCAATTTATTTATAATAAATTAATCATTTCATTTATAAATATTTCATTACATATTATCATGTATAAATTAAAAAAATTTGTTTCTTTATTTAAATTCTTTCAAGCGTAATTTAGATTAATGAAAAACAACAGACTTACTATCATTAATTTAAAAATCTTATTTTATATATATTAATAATTTTAGATTATCATACTTTTAAGATATTAATTTTGTATTACGTCATAATCTAAATCAAATACGTGTTTTTGTCAATATTTAATAACAATATATTAATGAAGTATATAATTAGATATATTAATGTAACCAAGTAATTGTACATATATAGGCACAAGATATGCATATATTAAGAAATATAAAAAAATATTACATTTTTAAGCTAAGCAGATATTAAAATATTATTTAAATGCATTACAGCTTAATTTTATATTGTTGACCACTCGCTATTAAGATTTCAATACAATTACAGTGATAAGGTGAAGATTGTGTGGATTGGATTACAAAATTATCATCTCAAATTTCTGTTGTGATGCGATATTAGATAAAACGTCGCTGATAGATTATTAGAAGTATTAACTAAAAAAAAAATAACACGAGTGAAGATATTCAATAGATGTGCTTCACATGTTTGGATGCGCATAAAGTGCCCTCTTACAGGGAGTGCAGAAATATCTTTCATTTTCAATTTGATAAGCGAGTTATAATTAGTTTAACGTATAGATTTTTACTGTTTCATCACTTTTTTGGGGGAATAAAAAAATTCACGCTGTTAGAAATTATTGATTGAAAATATTTCAAAATTTAGCATCTTTGATGTAAATACTGTAATGAATTATGTTTAAAAATGGTCAATAAAATACAAATAAATTAAGCTAGCAAAATTCTGAATTAAAAAAAAAATTCTAAAACTAAATTAATGTCATCAGCATTGATAATAACGAAAAGTGTAATAAAATATAAACGGTAGAATACGAATATTAAATCATTATTAATTCATTCTTTTTCACAAAAAGAGATTCTATTATGTTGTTTAAATATTCTTAGATTTTGCTAAAAGTTATAAAACTTTAAACATCATTTTATTATGTAAATATTATTTACATAAATTGTGAATATATTTTTCGAGTTAAATAATACAATTAGATTCATTAAAAATTCGTAATAATTGTACATATAATTATTAGTAAATAAATTATCAAAACTACCGTAAACTTATAATAAAATATTTCATTTAATGAATGCATGAGAAGCATATAAATAATTCTTTTTTGACAAATTATGTAGAATCTAAAATATCATCAAATATTTTAAAGTACTATAAAGCAATTACTAAATAATAGCAATTTATTCTATGTATATTAAGAAAGCTTGTTGATTGATAAAATGAAATTCAATTATTTGATCGAAGAATATTAGTCTAAAACGTAGAAACTGAATTTGATAAATCAATTTCTTACAAGGTATACATTGTAATATACGTTGTTTGAGGTATTAGTAATATATAGCTTTTGTAAATTAGTAGCTCTACAGCATAAGAACGTGCTTATTTCAATTAATCAGCGATATCTACGAGAATTTTATATAAATAAATTTTATTAAAGTTCATTTATAGAATGATAATTGATTTAAATAATAAGACTGATTAGTATATTATATTTCAACAATTAATCTATGTTTCACAGCGAATAAACGGTTGTTTAAACATATTTAATAAATTTTCGTATGTGTATGACATATTTTCTATGTTATTTTTCGAATTAAAACATAATAAAATACATTAATTTGGATTTTGTAAAATATGTTATAGAGTAAGATTGCCGATGCATTGTTAAACTCCTAAAAATGTTTTACTTTCTTTAATTAATTCAAGCATTTATAACTAAGTTAATGAATATTTAAAATTTTTAAATATAAAAACAATTGTGCATTCAGAATTTAAACATAGTTTCATAAATTACTCGATAGACTTAAAAATATATATGAATTTTATAATTTATATACCAATTTTACAAAAAATTAATTTTGTTTACATTAAATAAATAAATATTACTTTTTGTGGTACGGATGTTGGATATAAGCAATCCAAAATATTAAATTTAACAAAAATGAATTATGTAATATAATAATTAATTTTTATGTCCAAAAGAAAATTAAACTTCAGTTGTAGAATGTCAAATAAATGATGTTGTTTATTATAAGTAAATAAATTTTATTGGAATAGTAGATTTAATAGTGGCTTTGATCAAATATGTAGTAAGCCATGTTAGTATTTAGTTGCTCAATATATACAATTTTTTTATTTAATTATTACGAAAAAGAGGACGTCATATCTTACGTTTCTGAAATATTAGAATGCTATTGGTTCCAGAATTAAATTATGGTTTATTGGTTTCTTTGAAAAAGAGCTTGGAATACTACATTTAGCCGCTTTTAAAATTTATGGGAATTTCAGTAATATGTATTATATTATTAAATATTTTATTTAAATCAAAGAAGCAAATTTTTAAAATCTTTTTCTTTACAGAATTAAAAAAAATGTTTCATGGAAATTTTTCGACCAAAGATATATTTACGAATGCTGTTGCTGAGTTCTTAGGGACTGCTATGTTGATTTTTTTAGGATGCGTAGGATGCCTTGGTAGTTTAACTGTGCAACCTAGTCATCTTCAAATAACATTGAACTTTGGTCTAACAGTTTTAATAATTATTCAGGTATTTATCTTGCGAGTGTCTCTAAAAATAATAATAATTAATACGTAGAATAGAAAATGTTAAATAATATTAATTAATCTTAATATTGCATCTTTCGTATAATTATATCGTAGTTTGTTCATGTTATATTAAAATAAATTTCACTATTAATATTTCTGGCAATAAGATATTAAATTAAAATTAAAAATTGATAGAAAATTGTTTCTTTATAATATAATTCACATAAATTAATGACAATGAAGACTATTCAAGATTGGAGCACTTTCCAAGACCTTTGGCTCGGAATTTTATAGTCCTTCTAAACTCGAATTTTTGTAAATATTTTGATTCCCAGAATTCTCGATTATTCTAAAGCTTTTATTTCACACCTCCTACAATGTTCATTTTGTCTCCGCATAGCAACCAACATAACAACAATAAACAGCACGGAATTCTCCTACCTTCTAAAGTTTCGCTTTTCTGGAGTTCTCGAAACTTCTAAAGCTATATTCTTAAACATCCGCAAGTTAATCTAGTTTCTGCATAGCAACATCTATCCATTGTTACCATCTACCTAAACTGTCGCGTAGATATATAAATCAAGCACGCGATAAGCCTCGATCTCTCTCCGTGAAACTCTCTCATTGAAGAAGCCATGGCACGGATCACGGTCCGTCTTAGAAGGACCGCCGTGGAACAGTCGCTATCTCTCAGCAGAGCCGCCACGGACCGAACATGCCTTCAGCTTCGTCAGCGTATTCAACAGGCTTGTAGGGGCTCATTGTAATTAAGTTATTTGGCCAAAGTTTACAGCTATAAGGTAGTCAATCAGAAACGGTAAAACAGTGAAGCTATAACAAGTAATACAAATTCAATTCTCAAATGCGCAACAATTAACAAGCAGTCAAGGGTGCTGACCTCATTACAAGAACGTACACGACGACAAGAAGCGGGATATCAAAGCATTTATCACAGGATCAGGCAAGGCAACTGCATTGCTGTGAGTATCAGTAGCATCTAATACAGAAGTAACAAAAGGCCAACAACGCCTTTCCAAGAATAGTGCGTCTAGCACAACCCAACAAGGCCTTTCCAATAAAAGTGCATCTAGCACAAGGCCAACAAGGCCTTTCCAGTGAGAAGACCTCATCAGGATATCATCACATGTCACTACACAAAGAAGTATCAAGACAGTTACGACCTCTTACTTCTTAGTGTAATAATTTACCATTAAGCACACTACGTAAAGACGATCTACCTCTGCATGTAGTACATGCCAACACCACGTGGCAACCAGCATAGAAATGCAAGATCTCAACGATTCTGATCACCAAATTAGAATCATTATTGTATAGTTTGTAAAGTAAAACGCAATGAACAGCACGAAAAGCAAATGTGTTAAATATTTAATTAATTCCACTTGCCCGCACATTTTCTCCCACCAGCCAACCGATGGCCATGGTCAAATCCAATTATCATGGCCCTTCGACCACCGGATGATTGGAATTCTAAACAAAGACATAGTAATATTTAAAAATAATTAATATTTCTTAAAATTTTATTTATTATAACTGAATAAATATAAATATAATTTTTATTTAAATTTCAAATATTTTTTATAATAAATTCTTTACATAATTATAAATTAATAATCTATATAAAAAGTGGGTTTTTAACGTTTTTCCCACAATACGTGTTTCAAAATTTTGTATTTTTTAGTATGATTTTTTCGATTATTTTCATAAAACATTCATTAATCATTAGATGAAAGAAGATATTTATTTCATTATTACCTATAATTTCAATGAAAAATAAAACAATAACAACCCAAGTGGCATAAAATATAGTTTTTAATTTGTTTTGTTTAAATTAGAAAATTTTATTTATTTTTTTTTGTTATTATTTATAATAGTTACCAATTATTAGAAATTAAAAATGTTTAAAATATATAATAAATGCAAAAATAATTAATAAAAGTAAATAAAAATAATCTGATTATATTTTATTAGTGTACAATCCCGAAATTTCAAAAAAAATTTGTTCATGTAATTAGGGCAATTATTTATAAAATTTATAAATTTTATATATTTTGTCATTTATTATTTAGTTTATATAAATGCATTAAATTTGATTAATAAATTGTTGATTAATTACTATAAAAGTTGAGCCCCCTCTTATATTTAGCCTGAAAATAGGTTATCTAGTCTTAATATAATTTTAAAATGTTATTGCTAATGACAGAATGTAAATTTATCCATACGATTAAATTAATAAGACTGCTACTATGATTTTACAAATTTGTACATACATAAACTTAATATTGCACTACACGTTTATGCACCTGATAAAAATACAATCTTTAGGATAGTCTTTAGGAACGGAGACAACTATTTGAAAAAAACTATACGAACGAATGTGTTCGGGAAGAGCAGTTAAAAACAAATGGCAGCTGTAATGTTCCATTTAATTTAATTCTTATAATGACTTATAAAGCAGCATGTGCACTTTTGATTTAACATAGCATCGCTGTATCTGCATTAGCTACTGTGTTTGAAATCGTTAATGATAGATATACACACATACATGAATCGATGTATGGAATATTATTATCGATCGTTGACACTTGCATTTTTCCATATGCGAAGAAGTTTTTTATATTCTAATTACTTTTATTTGCAGAATTACATTCATGCTTCCACATATATATAAAATTTCCTTTTGTATATCTATTATTATATGTATATATTACATCATATGTACATATACACTATATTTTGAAAAACACACAACATATTTATAAAGAGACGTTGATTATTCAGATTCATCTTAGATTATGATCGAATATGATTATATTTCAATGTAATTATAATGTTATTTTATTGAATTTTGTTGTTTTTAATTCTTTCACTTAAGTAACATTTTCATTTAAAAATTTTCAATAATTTGTATGCAACTTTCTTATATTTTGTAATGCATTGCATAATTTATGGTAAATATAAAGCGAAGCAAAGTTAAAAAAATGGCAATATTATTAAAACAAATTTTAATAAATTAATTTTTAAGTAATTGAAAATTCATTTGAATTTTTTTAGTGTTTTGGCCACATCAGTAATGCACATATTAATCCAGCAATAACAGTTGGTGCTGTAATACTTGGAAAAAAAACTGTTTACGAAGCATTCCTTTATTTCATTGCACAAATATTTGGAACTATAGTTGGATTTGGCTTACTCAAGGTTCATAATAATTTAATTATTTATATAAATATTATATTTAAATTTACATATTTAGCATAACCATGATAACGTTTTATTTTGATATATTATATTTTCTGTTTACAATCTATAATCTTCAAATTATATTTGAAAGTTATATCACTTTTTTTACAATATTTGTAAAATAATACTAAAAAAATATTAAAACCAAATAAATTAGAAATATAAAAATTATTGTGTAACAATATTGTTAGTTTATTATAAATAAAGTTAATTTTAAAAATATTTTCTGGAAATTATTTTTATTACTAATAGTTTTTTCTTTTAGCCATGTTAGCTATTATATATGTCTAATATATAGATAAAAATATTTTTGAATTTATATAGAATAATAAACTAATTAAGAATTAAATAAGAAAAATATCAGGTAATATAGTTCCTGCAATATTGTAGAAATAAAATGGTGATTTTAATTAAATTTGAGTTTCGGGAATTTCCCAAGTGTTAGACATCTGGGAAAATCCCAACTGTCGTTAGACATTTGGGAAAGGTCCAACCGTCGTTAAACACTCCTTTTTCAGGAGTATGCCCCTTGTTCTGTACATAACCTGATATCTGCTAATGTTGTAAAGATTAGCAGGAATATGCACACATTCCTGGAGATGACGTGTGGCCGAAATGTTTTATATAATGTGACGTCTGTTACTGTTGTAAATATTAGCAGGAATATGTGCACACTTCTAAAAGGACGTTTGGCCCGAATGATTATAAAGTATACCGTGCTTTTCACAGTCGTATACTTTCTTGTAATGCAGTCAGTACCTTTAACTGCTTACTTAACTTACTTAACTTACTTAAATGACAACAATGCATAGATGTTGCTATGCGGAAATCTTGCATGACGTGCAAGACTAAAGTTTTAGAAATTTCGAGAACTCCAGGAAAGCAAGGCTATAGAAGTTTCGCGAACTCCAGGAAAGCAAGGCTTTAGAAATTTTGAGAATTCCAAACGACGTTACTATGGGACTAGATAAACATTGTAGGATATTTGAAAGTAAGGCTTCGGAATATTTGAGAATTCGCGGAATCAAATGTATACAAATTTTGACAACTAGAAGGCTTATACCTTTCCAAGAACCAAAGTCTTGGAAAATGCTTCAATTTCGAACAATGGGGAACTACAGAATGATATTTAAAAAATATATTCTTATTATATTATTTTATCTAATTATTTTATTATATTTTATTATATTATAATCGACTTATATAGAAAAGAAATTTATAATTACGTTATAAAATAACACAGATTTGCAATAATATAAGACCTAAATCTACGATATATTTACATTTATAGAAAGGAACTAATGTTTTAGAGTCTTGCGCGCATACCAAATAAAATCATAATATATTTAATTGTATAAGGTAGAATAAATATAAGACTATAGCTCTTTTATTCACGAAAATATTGTGATATTAAGAGTGGCATTGTACAGGGAAAAAATTTACGATGATAAATATACCAAAATTCTGGTTAATATCTATCCTGCATTTCAAATTAAGACAATGAAGAAAAGACAAAAATTGAGCTATATACATATATAGTCCCCCTTTTTTTTAGCGCATTATGGATTTTTCCCACGCGCAAAAAGACTAAAGAGTAAAAGCATACATATAGTGAAAATGAATGCCTTGAATAGAGAAAGAAAATATTAAGAATGAAATTGGTAAGAGAAGTGGAAAATGATAATGAGGAAGAGTGAAAAAAATACACTTTGGTAATTAACATTACAACTGTATATATTTCCATACATACTTTAGATACATAGCGTCTTTGGCAAATATTGTAATTTAAAATATTAAAAAATGTTTTGAATACAATTTATTTTTTTTATTGCAATTTATCTTTATTTTTATACTATTTGATAATAATAATACGAGTTTGTAATGCATTAAGTTAATCTGAGCTAAGTAATTTATAATTGAGAATTGGGAATTAAGAAAAGGGACACCAAGTGTGTAATAACTGATAGACAAGAAATGGAGAGAGATAAAGTGGGAGTTTTAAGGCTGTTATGAGGAATTAATATCAAAGAGCAAATAATGTTATATGTACATTTTCATTGACTATATTATTAATTATTATCGTTACCATTAATTTGTACCTTTTAGTTATACTGGTATATAAATTAATCATCATATACCTTTTTTATTCGACGTGTTATGTTTGTTTTATGAGATATCTCCTATATATACTATATTTTCGCATGCAATAAAAAAAAATTAAAAAATAAAGACGAATCTTAATTTATATAAGTATTTCATTATTATATTGTTGAAATATTTAAAAGATTAAAAGAAATTATTATTTTTGTCATCCACAGATTATTACACCTATAGGATTTTTGAAAGCAAGTGTAAACTCCTCATTAAATGAATTTTGCATTACGGATCTTCATCCACATGTATCATTAATGCAGGGACTTTTGATAGAAGGTATCGCTACTGCTATTCTTATGTTCATCGCTTGTTCTATTTGGGATGTTCGAAATTGTCAGGACACTGACGCGGTTTCTATAAAATTTGGCTTAAGTGTTACGGCCTTAGCTACTTCATTTGGACCTTACACTGGCTGTAGTATGAATCCTGTGAGATCGTTAGGCCCTGCAATATGGAATAATTATTGGCGTCATCATTGGATTTACTGGTTAGGACCATTAGGAGGTGCATTGTTTGCTTCATTAATTTATAAGACAATTTTCTCTATCAATGATCAAGACAATAGAGAAATAAATATTGCAGAAAATACAGCTCTTAATTGCATTAACTTACAGAAGTCATCCCAGGTTAGTAACAAAGAAGGGCGAGTCGATGAATAATAATTTGAACTAAGTATTGATAAATTAAACCGTATATTCCACAAATTAATTTATTAACTATTTGTTAAATTCTTAAAAAGCTAAGAAATTATTTTGGTATCGTGATTTAATAATTTATTTTGTTTGCATTGTTCTATATCATTACTATTTTATATATTTAGGAATATATTTATAAATTTTTTAGATAAAATTGAATGTTATTAATAATACATTATGAAAATATTATAAGTAATGTTAATTTGGTTTACTTTTCTTATATTATTAAAATCTACTTCTAATTTTTTATAATGAATAGTTTAAAATTTTGGAAACCTAAAGTTTTATTAGTAAAAACTCGTTTAATTAATGTATAAGAATCACTTTATAAATTTTATAATTTTTTATATAACTTACAGACTATATAGAGTTTAATTGCTTTTGAAGGATGACTACAATTTTATACATTATTGAATCAAGCAATTAGATAAAAAATCGACTAGGAGTTCGATTGTAACATGTTCAAGTCATATAATTTATAAATAAAGAATTTTCAGAAATTACTTCAGTAGTGCATCAATGGAAAAAATAAAAAATATGACATAAAATATGGTGTACATATTCAAAATTTATACCAAAAACATTAAAATTAATAATAATACCTCAAGATGTGAAACAAAATTCCTTATAAACTTACATATTGCGAAATAAAAAAAAAAGCTTGCTATAAAATAGTATCCACATATATAAAAATATAGAAAACGCACATTATAGAAAAAAAATATATATATAAACAGAAGAGTTATGAAATACTCATTATTTTCAGAGAAAAATACAATGAAGATACTGCTAAGAAAATATATGGTATGATAAAATGCTCATTGATATTACATGAAGTTACAAAACTTTATGATCACTTTATAATAGTGTAAGTAATAAGTCATTCTTTTTGTAAATGTGTAATGAACTGCATAAAGTCATTTTATCCTTAAAAATAGTGCTTTCGCAAAATGAAAAATGTTTACATGTATTTGTATAACTCACGAAATCTTCTATCTATATAAAATTTTTGTTATATTTTATTATTCATTACAATACATAAAAGAATGCTTTGATAAATATATTAAGTTGACAAATAAATATTGTAATTAAATCTTTATAAAATTGTTATATAAATTAATATTTAAATTGGTAAATGTAGGAAAAATATGTATTCGCAAGTATAATTTTTATTACTTCTATTAAATGATTGCAATAATCTTTCCGCTTTTATAAGTAAATACTTCCTTGAAGATATATTAATTATACAGTTTTTATTGTAAAATAATATTTTTGTATTTAGTATTTATAAAATTAGGTGGAATATTCCAGTGTTTGATAGAGTTTTAGAAATATAAATAAATTAATAATATAAAGAAAATATTTTTGGTAAAAATTAGAAATTATTCCTATAATATTCGTATCAAACTTATAAAGAATGCAATAAACCTTTAAAAGTATTAATGGATAACTTTTCCAAAGACAATTGAAAACGGTTATGCAGGTAAACCAACCATTGCTCAATTTATATATTTATATTTATATTGTTAATATTTGTTGTCGATAATAATAAAATTTTAAAAATAAAAAAAATTTTGATACAGGGATAAATAATAAATTTTCATTAAAGATCATTCAACATTCAACATAAAGAAGTTTATTAGTTAAATATGAAATTTAGTTACCCATCTTAGAGATTTCTTAAAGTAATATTCTAACTTTAATTACGAATACATGTTTTGTAATTTTAAATAAATTTATTAAATAAATTAGTTTTGTTTTAAAGATAAAAAAAGATATAAATATACTAAAAAGACTCTTTTTGCGACTTACAATTTTCATTCATATCTGAATTATTTTATTATTTTTATAATAAAATTAATTATTTTTATACATTTAGTAATGCATGCTAATCTGCAATGCTAATACTTCACTTGATAACTTCAATTTATTTTAACATTAAAGATAATTTTCTCAATAATTGAGTTAATTTTGTGATAATATGAAGGCCTAAAACAATTCTAATAACAATTGCATCTTCTATTCCGTCATCTATATTAAAAATTAATATCATAATCAATTTTAATATATTTTTTTAATAGAAATTGTTTTTGAAGCGGCAAATAAAGAGAGGCATGAACAATTTCTTAAATGCCATAAAACTAACCATATATGTAATTTTTTGATCATTGTTATTTTATTATTTATAAATTTATTGCATTTATCTATATACCTTAAAGTTTTTCATTAGCAAGATATTACTACTATTCGAGCATTTTGTCCATTAAAAAATTTTATCTATAGAATTACTATTCCACAGAAATTAACGGCCCAATAAAAAAAGCTATAAAAATAAGAAAATCATGAATAATTCATTATTTCTAATCAAAATATAAAATTCATTTTGTGTGATTCATTTTTTAAAAGCTGTAAGTAGAATTTCGATATCTGTATTGTAACAAATTTTATGGATTGTCTGGGATCAGACTATAAACCTCCCTTTGATCATGGGTAAAGGTGTTGCTGGCAAGTGGAAGGGACAATGCAATTATTCAATAATACATGCAGTGTTTCTTATCTTTCCTTTATTAAATATAATAATATAAAAAATAGTTAATGATTATAAAGTGTATGAATGAAGGTGTGAGCGAATAATTTGGAGAAATTTCTTCAATTGGTTTACGTGCTGAGAAGAGTGTGTATACTCTCCGTGATGTGAGGAGTGACTCCTTCCCTGCCGAGAAGTGCCGCTATAGTAGTGTGCGTGAAAGCCGTCGCTGTCGTACCGAAGCTTTCTAAAGGGGCACCGGTTTGCTGGTGCCTTAGGCGTCGGTGTGATCCGTTAATATATGTAGTATGATTTCGATAATTTCACTCTCGATTATGTTAGCACTAGCGCTTTATTAATTTACGTTTAGTTAACGGATTCTGATAGTGTGGCGTCACTATTGGATTATTAGATTGCTTACTGTTTGATGATTACGTACGTGCATCGCTACAGTGAATGATGACTGTAGAGAGAAGCTTGAAGATTGAATAGTGAGCCCGTCATTATGACTGCGTAATTGTTACTAGACTGGACTGAGCGCTGCGCGTCAAGCACAGCCCTTAAATATTCTCGTGGTAGTTTGCGACGCCGGTAGCGATCCGGTGTCTGTTGCTATGCCGATATTTGTCGTGATGTCAACAGGGTATAGCCTTGGAAGGTTCATTGGCATTATTTTTCAGAATTATAACCGTATATTCAAGTTTTCAGCGTAGAAACCTTTCTCGAATTCGATAGCTTGTGTTTATAAACAAATTAGAGCTCATGCCTCTCCCATTTTTGTATTTTGCTTTCAACTGTTTCAATCCGTAACAGTTATACTTTATTTTATTAAATGATAATCATCTTAAATTCTTATATATTTTAAGATTTATCGAAATCTTATATATATTTAAATGTTATTATATTAACATATTTAATTCTGAAAAATTATACATTAATTTATTAATAAAATATAATAATATTTTCAGAAAGTATATATTATATTGCTGAAAATTAATAAATATTGAACACTGCAAATATAAATTTACATAATTATGTATATTAATTATCTGCAAGTTCTTGACAAAATCGAATTTGTAATAACTTTTCTAAATTTAAGCTTATTATTATTATTAATATTATATATTGTTGATAATTAACCTAAAGATGTATGAAATTTTAGATAAATCTAGACAAAAGGCTACAAATATATAATATATGTATAAAGCCAATTTAAAAAAGAGATGAAAGATAAGAAATTTTTAATACATAAAACATTTGTAAATATATTACATTTAATCTAAATAGATTACATTATAGATGAGTAAGATTCCAACGACCGTTGGAAAATTTCACAGAAATTATAACTGGTGGGATTTTTCCCCGAAATGATAATATTCGAGAGATTGTCTCGAACAATAACAAAGTAAACATTTTTGTTTTAAGTTAAACTATGGTGGTCTAAATTGTTGTCGGCCATATAATTAATGAAGAAACAACTGTAACTATTACAGATATTTCATGATCCAAATGAGATTTGATAAATAAGAACAAATATCAAATCAATAAGATAATTACCATGGCAATACAAGACAAATAAACACGAATTTATATTATTTTGATAATGTTATATGAAGAGTGTTTACAAAATATGCATATTCATCAAATTATAAAAATCATAACAGATTTTTAAATCTGCTTCTGCATAATTATATTGTGAAGATAAAGTGAAAATATTAACCTTGAAGAGTTTATAGAAAAGTTCACACATCTATTATACATTATTCATTTCCTTTTCAATGAATTAATAAAATTATAATTATAATTATGATAAAGTTTGAAACAAAATTAATTTTAATTATGTCATTATATATAATAATTAAATTATATTATATTAGATTATGTTATAATATTAGATTAGATTATTAGATTATAAATTAATTTAAAATATTTGAAATGTTATATTTAAAATGATTGAAATTGTTATTTGGAATATTATATTTTTTAATTTATTTTTCTGTCTATATAATCTACATAATAAAATTTTTGTGAAATGCTATATTATTATTTGAACATTATAATAGTATTATAATACGATGTAGTTAGTTTTTTTGTATTTTATTTACTTATTTTTATACACACAACTCATAATTGAAACTTATTAGTCAAAATATTGAAACAAATTAAGAACACATAAATTCACATAGAAAATAAATTTCTTTCATTGTTATTTGTGTGATTACATTTTTTAGTCATTAACAGATCACATTTAGAATATATATATATATATATATTTGATGATGTAATTGCATAATAACATACCACTTTTGATAATTACGTTGAAACGTTTTAACGAAGTGTATTTCTTCAGTAATGGAGAAATTCAATTTCAACTGTTGTTGAAATAGTATTATTTAATTTAACACTGGTAAATGCAGTTCATTTCAAAAGAATAATTTTTCGTATTTTTTTAGAATAATATTTCATGAATTAGAAAATGTTATAAAATAAACATTTATTATGAAGAATCTATATAAAATTTTACTATTTATGATAGGAAACCTAATGAATGTCTAAAAATTGTTTAAAATGTGAACTTACAATAATCTAGTAAGATAATTTTATATTATATTGTCGTTTTTCGTATTCATCAATAAATATATTTTACAATACTATGAATTAATTGAAATGTATATAATTGTTCGAAAGTTGTAGTTTTGAAAGTTGTAGTACTGGCTCGAACTGCCAATGCTTCAATAGCTTATATTTGCTGCCCTAGCAAATGCATGGGAAGGAGTTAAGTGGAAAGGCTGTAAAAATATCGTGCGTTTTGATGAATATATGGTTTATTTTGCAATTTATTTACAATACCGTTATTAATATATTGGATGTATCCTACGTTTAATTATAAAGATGAAATTGCTTGAAATGATTTTTGTGATGGATGTTTT